TCCTATATATAGGAAACCGCAAAGAGTCAGTACAAAAGCTACTAGAACTAATTGGAGGATTCAGCAAAGTGGCATGGTGTAAGATCAACCAACATACAAAAATCAGTTGGATTTCTTTATAGTAACAATGACAGCACTGTAAAGGACATTAGGAAAGCAATACTATTTACAGTATCCACCCAAAGGATGAAATATCTAGGAGTTAATGTAACAAGAGAAACAAAGGATCTATACAAAGAAAACTACATAACACTACTACAAGAAACCAAGAGACCTACAAAAATGGAAGTATATGCCATGCTCCTGGATAGGAAGAGAAAACATTGGGAAAATGTCAATACTGCCCAATGCAATTTACATGTATAATGCAATCTCAATCCAGCTTCCAACAATATTCTTCAAAGAGATGGAAAAAACAATTACAAACTATATGGAAAGGAAAGAGACCCAGGATACATAAAAGCACTGCTTAAGTAAACAGGGTAGGAAACCCTCTCACTCCCTGATTTTAAAATTTACTACACAGCTACAGTGGTCAAAACAGCCTGGTACTGGTATAATAAAGGATACATTGATCAATGGAACAGAATTGAGAATCAAAAAATTGACCCATCCACATATAGCCAACTGATTTTTGACCAAGTACTTAAGTATATTGCATGGGGAGGAGACGGTCATTGCAAATACTTTTTAAACAACACACAAGACGACTATACACATAGTTGTACACATAGGCCTAGCAGATAGAATACACAGAAACAAAACAGATCACATCTGTGGAAAGAGACAGTGTAAATGTTCCATATCACCAGCCAAAACGAGACCAGGGGCAGACTGTTGTACAGAACGTGAGTTGCTCCTATTCAAAATCAGACTGAAGCTGAAGAAAATGAAAACAGGTCTACAAGAGCCAATATATGGCCCTGAATGTATCCCATCTGAATTTAGAGATCATCTGAAGTACAGATTTGATGCATTAGACACTAAAGACTGAAAACAAGTAGAGTTCTGAGATGACATGAAGAAGATCATACAGGAAGAAAGCACAAGGTCATTAAGAAGACACGAAAGAGCAAAACGGGTATCATAAGAGACTCTAAAACTTGCTCTCCAGCATAGAGAGGCTAAATCATTTGGAAAAAGTGAGGCGGTACAAGAGCTGAACAGAGAATTTCAAAGGTCATCTCGAGAAGACAAAGCCAAATATTATAACATAACGTACAAATACCTGCAGTTGTAAAAACAAAAAGGAAGAACATGCTCAGCATTTCTCAAGCTGAGGAAACTGCAGAAAAAAATTCAAGCCTCAACTTGTGGTATTGAAAGATTCTCTGGGCAAATTTCTGAATGATGCAGAAAGCATCAAATGAAGATGAAAGCAATACACAAGAGTCATTGTATCAAAAGGAAATGCTCGATGTACAACCATTTCAAGATGTGGCATATGATCAAGAGCCAATGGTACTGAACGAAGGTGGCCAAGGTGCACTGAAGGTATTGGCAATGAAAAGGCACCAGGAATTGATGGAATACAAATTGAAATCTTTCAGCAAACTTATGTTGCACCAGTGGCCCTCACTTGTCCATGCCAAGAAATTTGGAAGACAACTACATGACCAATTGACTGAAAGAGATCCGTATTTGTGGCCAGTACAAAGAGAAGTAACCCAAGAGACTGTGGAAATCATCATACAATATCACGGTAAACCCATGCGGTTCTTTGGTTTTGTTTTTGGCCAGTGTCTTCAATGCAACTTATACTTTCCTTCAGTATCATTAGTTCTTGATCATGTTTCTACTTGAAATCGCTAAATATAAACCAAGTCTTATTGGTGCAGTGACTCTGTGCATTCCTTCCATTTTTTAAAACATTTTATTGTGAATTTTATGATAGTTTTATAGTCATCCTATCGTGTATTGTTTCATTGCATGGTTACAATCCCCTCTCCATGCATCATCAGCCAACCAAAGGGTATATATCCTATAAGCCTACTTCCATCTTCTTTTGATATTTTTTGTATCACTCAATATTTTATGCAAGGGGTCCTTGAATATTATAATATTGAGACGTGGATTTTCCTTTAGCTCTTTCCACTTGAGAAATGTTGAATGAGTTGCTCCTCCCTTTTGGTTTTCTAACTGTAGGTCTTTGCTCATTTCCTTATACTTGTCTTTTTGTCTTCTCAGAGATGCCCTTTGAAATGTTCTAAATCAGCTCGTTTACTTCCTCATCTGTTCCATTCTCTTTAGCTTCTCTATCCTGGTGTGGTGCTGTAGGATATGCCTGGACTGCAAGGTCAGTTTGAACCACAAGGTTGGCAGTTGAAACTCACCAGTCACTCCTTGGAAACTCTATACAGGGGTCACTGTGAGTCAGAACCAACTCAATGGCACATAACGTGCTAAAGAGCATGTTTCAGATTCTCTTCTAATATCAACAGTCATTTTTGTGTTTTTGTTCTTTGGTGTCTTTTAAATGAACATTTCCTTTTTTCCCATATCTTCTTGATGTCACACCCACTATTCATTGGTCATTAGTGTCTAATGCATCAAATCGGTTCTTGAGATGGTCTCAAAATTCAGATGGGACATATTGTGGCTATCATGAACTTGCATATATGCAAATGGCCTTTTTCAGTTTGCCATGTTCTTTTATTCACTGATGATATTGAGCTTTTCCACCATCTCTTCCTACAGATTTAGTCAATTTGATTCTTGTGTATTCCATCTGGTGAGGCCCACATAATAGTCCACCTTTTATGTTCTTTAAGAAAGTATTTGTACCGAAAAATCACTGGTCTTGAAAATTTCTATCATGAAAGCCCCAGCATTATATCTACAACCAAGGACACATTTTCCAACTAATGATCCTTCCTCTTGGTAACAACTTTTACATTCAAATCACCAGTAGTAATTAATGTATCTTGATCAATTTCACACTTAAGTTCGTAGAATTCATCAATGTCATCATTGTAACTTCATCATGGCTTTCGGGTCGCTATGGGTTGGAACCGACTCGATGGCACTTAACAACAACATAAATTTGAATAATGGTAGCAACTGGTGTCCTTGTAAGCATATGGGTCCTTGTAAGCATATGCTATCACAGACAGCATTGTACTTCAAGAGAAACCTTTAAATACTCTTGGATTATGAATAAGATGCCATTTCTCTTCCACATTCCAGACGTAAATGTAGCGAGTGAAGAGAATACACTAACTCTAAAGCACACACGATAAGTTCATGTTGCAGTGGTGAAACATTTTGGGTAAAGATAAAATGGGGAAACAATGTAAAGAAAATAACCAAAGTCACTGAACTATTGTTGAATGGAGTATCTATGTTCTGTAGTAATTTTGCCTCAAAAGAAACAGTATATAAATGAGAAAACGTGAGGGCAGGGGAAGACTTGCAGTTTCTAGTATAGGTAGACAGACAACTAACATATGATAAACCAATCCCACTGACATGGCTATATACATGAGAAACATGAAACCCATGTTCACAAACACACATACGAACCTATGCTTTAATGTTTATAGCAGTTTTATTCATACAATCAGGAAAACCCTCAAATGTCCTCCCACTGGTAAACTCACAAACTGAACTATATGTATACAATTAAGTAATACTATATATAACAGAAAACAAACATCATGGTACATTTCTCAACATAAACAAATTTCAAATTCGTTATGCTACGCAACAGAAAGCAGAATCTGATAGCAACGGAGTCGTGACAGTTTCTGGAGATTCAGGGTAAGAAGGTTTGACTTAATGATTTCACTGGAAATGGTTCTAGAAGGAGGAGGACTCTTCTATAGGGAGGTAAATGGTTACAGGCTGGATACAGTGCTCAAAATTCTGACTAGTCTTCATTGCCCAGGTGGTGAATTACTATTTTTAATGTTTAAATATATAAAAATAATGAGCAGACGAAAAACTACAAATTAAGGAGAAGCAAAGGGAATACAGAATTCAGTGTCACCTTTGCATGAGAATCCCTATTAATGTTCTAGAGCTCTCTATATGTTGCTTTGTCTGTGTATGTTTTATAAAATCACCACCATGTACAGGTATGCTTTGTGAGCGTTATGTGAAAGAGGACATTGGCCATGAGTGAATACGCACCATTTTACACCTAGTGTTACACACACACACAACACATACATCATGACACTTTATGGCCCTCTTGAGGCACCATTCACTGTAATGCAAATGATCACTCACATGCCATCTCTGGCCTGAATCTGAGCAACCCCAGTCATAAGCCCGAGCTTATTCAGAATCAGAAGCTCTGAGGGAAGGGGCACCGTGTGCCAGGAAATTATTGTAAAGTGCCGTTGAATCTGTTCCGACTCATAGCAACCCTGTATAGGGCTTCAGAGGAGCGGCTGGTGAATTTGAACTGCCAACCTTGAGGTTCAAACCAAACCTGAGGTCCAGTACTCATCCTACAGCGCCACACCAGGATTCCAGTAAGTACCTGGAGGCAAATTACACAGGTAGGACCTCCTGCCCCAAAGCACTCAGCTCTCTCACTTTGTCAACAAGTCCAATGCACTGTCTTGTGCAGGTCTCCTGGTTCTGCTGCAGCGGTTGCTGCTGCTTCTCATCTTGCATTGATCCTCCTACAGTATTAACTCCAGCTCCTGGGTCTACGAGCTTCTCAGCACAGGAACCTTGGTAAGGATATGACATATGTACTCTTACCCTCCTCCAGGGTTGACTTAGTGAGATGGCAGAACTGATCTACCCCCTACAGGGTTCCACATGCCTTAGTAGCACAGTCCCACTCAATCCCTGTGCGGGAGTTATAAGACCATGGCTGGAAGGATCACATGATAGGAACTCACTACACTGCAGGTTCACTCCACAATGAGATTCTGCATGAACTGTGGGGTGTGACAGCAGATTAAAGGCTTTCCCAAATTCCTACCATAAGGCCTAACTACATGGAATTTTCTAGCATGTTTATGGAAAGATGAAAAACAACTAAAGGCTTTCCCACATTCCTTACATTCATAAGGTTTCTCTCCACTGTGAACTCTTACATGTCTAGTGAGCTGTAAAAATAGCTTAAAGGTTTTCCCACATTCTTTACAATCATAAGGCCTCTATTCACTGTGTGTCTTTATATGGGCAGTGAGGTGGGAGGAACGACTAAAGGCTTTTCCACATTCCTTACATTCATAAGGCTTCTCTCCACTGTGAAGTTTGACATGTCTAGTGAGTTGTGAAAACTGCTTAAAGGCTTTCCCACATTCTTTACATTCATAAGGTTTCTCTCCATTGTGAACTTTTCCATGTCTAGTGAGTTCTGAAAATATCTTAAAGGTTTTCCCACATTCTTTACATTCATAAGGCCTCTCATCACTGTGTGTCTTTATATGGGCAGTGAGGTGGGAAGAACGACTAAAGGCTTTTCCACATTCCTTACATTCATAAGGTTTCTCTCCACTGTGAACTCTTACATGTATAGTGAGTTGTGAATACTGGAAAAAGGCTTTTCCACATTCCTTACATTCATAAGGCTTCTCTCCACTGTGAAGTCTGATATGTCTAGTGAGTTGTGAAAACTGCTTAAAGGTTTTCCCACATTCTTTACATACACAAGGTTTCTCTCCACTGTGAACTTTTATATGTCTAGTGAGTTTTGAAAATAGCTTAAAGGCTTTCCCACATTCTTTACATTCATAAGGCCTCTCATCACTGTGCGTCTTTATATGGGCAGTGAGATAGGAGGAACGACTGAAGGC